TGGATGGATGGATGGATGGATGGATGGATGGATGGATGGATGGATGGGTGGATGGATGCATGGATGGAAGGAAGGATGGATGGATGGATGGATGGATGGATGGATGGATGAATGGATGGATGGATGGATGGGTGGATGGATGAATATAGATACAGATAGATATAGACACAGAGACAGAGAAAGACAGAGAGAGAGATGTTCATCATTAAAACATCTTAGTATTATTACGAAAGTAGTTTTGACCTTGAAGGTCCCTGAAAGCGTTTCAGGGATCCCCAGGAGTCCCTGGACCACACTTTGAGAACTAGAGCATTGGTTGAATTTAATATAATGAAATTCAATAGGGATAAATGTTAAGTTTTACACTTGGGTTCAAAAAATCATCTTCACAAGTACAAGAAGGAGAAGGCATAACTAAATAACATTTTATCTGAAGAAGACTTTGTGATTTTAGTTTAGTGGACTGAAATCTAATTATGAATCATTATGAATATGAAGTTTATTAGGAATGAAGGATGACAGCCAAAACACTCATGTAATAGTGGGCAGCATTGAGAAGCACTGAGATGCAAGAATGAGGTGCTATACTCTAGGACCATTTGGGGAGTATGTGTTCATTTCTGGATGTCGCCATTGAGGAAGGACATCGATAAGTTGGCTGAGTATTCAGAAGGGGGCAACTCTTACGGTGAAGGGCCTTGAGTCCACTTCAGAAAAGGACTAGTCAAAGGAAATGGGGGTGTTTAGCCTGGAGAAGAGAGGACAGAGAGGGCATCATAGTTGTGTTCAAGCATTTGAATGGCTCGGGTGTGGAAAGTATCATTAGATTTCTTCTGTTTGGGCCTTAACAGATAGAACCAGAAATTATGAGTGGGAAATCCAAAAAGGCAAATTATTGTTTGTTATTGTCAGGAAAAATTTTGTGGAAATGGGAGCTGTCCAAAAGTGGGGCGGACTTTCTTGAGGGTTCCTCCTCTTCAGGGATCTTCAGGCAGAGGCTAAAGAACCCGTTGGCAGATGTGTTCCAATGGGGATTCCTTCTCGAACAAGGGGTAGACCACTGAGGTCCCTTTCAACTCTGAAATCCTGTGACGGTACAAGGAGGTGGGAGATGGGGTCCAGCAGTCTGAGTGACTGGAACAGTGACTTTGTAAAGGACAGAATTCTGAAATAAGACTAAAAAGGCAGGTGGTTGGAAGCCGGAATGTTGAAGGTCTGAAATGCCAGACTGAGGAGTTTGTATTTTATCCTATGCTGCTTTTAGGCAATGGGGAGCCACTGATGGCTCCAGAGGACCACTATGACAAGGGCAGACCTGTGCCTTTGGGAGAGGAAAGGAGTGGAAGCTGAAGAGCAATTAGGAGGTGATAATAATAACCAAGGAAGCTGCTTTGTGGTGCCATAGTGCATAGAGCACTGTACCTGGAATCAGGAAAACCTGAATTCAAACATGGCCTCAGACACATATTAATTTGTGACCCTGGGCAAGTCACATCACCCCATTTGCCTCAGTTTCCTCATATGTAAAATGAGCTGGCAAAGGAAATGGCAAACCACTCCAGTTTCTCTGGCAAGAAAACCCTAAGGCCAGTATGGTCCTCAGGGTCGCAGAGTTGGACAGACCGAACGACAACAATAACTGTCAAAGAGACCCGAATTCAAATCCAGCCTTCGACACGTATTAGCCGTGAGACCCTTGACAAGTTGCCTTACCTCTGTCTTCCTCAATTTCTTCAGCTGTAAAACGGGGATAATAATAACCCCTACCTCTCAGGATTGTTGCGAGGGTCAAATAAGATAACATTTATAAATTGCTTAGCACATTGCCTGGCATGTAGTAGGTGCTTAATAAATGCGTTTTTCCTTCTTTCCTTTCAGGAAAAAGGTGAAGAGGATGAGGTGATTTGGGCCTGTTTAGTGGAGAAAAGGAGGTAGATGGGGGAGATGGTATAGAGGCAGAACCAGTAAGGTTTGACAACTGATTACATAAGGGAGAGGGAAGGATCATCTTTGGGCAACTGGGAGGATGGTGGGACATCTGGAGGACAGACAGGTTTCAAAGGATCTATGGGATGTCCACAAGGACATCTTTTTTTTTTTTTAATCCCCAGTGCTTAGCATAGTGCCTGGCACAGAGTAGGTGCTTAATAAATGTTGATTGATCGGGTTGAGGATAGAACAGAAAGAGGAAGTCTAAGGCAGATCCCCAGCAGAGATACTCACACTAAGTTAATGGGATAGGAAATGAATGAGGATCCAGAAAAGGAGACTAAGGAGTGGGAGGAGGGGGTGGGGGGAGGGAAAGACCTTCTTCAGGTCTGTTCAGTTGTGTCTGACTCTTTGTGACCCCGTTCGGGGGTTTTTTGGCAAAGATACTGGAGTAGTTTGCATTTCCTTCTCCAGATCATTTTACAGATGAGGAAATTGAGGCAAACAGGGTGAAGTGACTTGCTCAGGGTCACATAGCTAGTAAGTGTCAGAGGCCAGATTTGAACTCAGAAAGACGAGTCTTCCCGATTCCAGGTCCAGTGCTTTGCGCACTATGGCGCCACCTAGCTGCCCAAAATTCATCTTATGTTTGAAAAAAACAAAGGGCCTTCAGATCTAGACAGCCCATGCTTCTGGGAAGGGAAGTCCCCTGAAATGATACTGAAGAGGATACAACTTGGTGATCAGAAATTAAGTGGAAGTTTTAAGTACATTCTAGCTCTAAGTCAGAGAGTGGCTGGGACAGAAGTGTTGCATTTGATGAGCAGGAAGAATTCAAAAAGTAAACAGCTTCAGGAGCTCCCTAACTGACTTCAGCCCTGAATGCTATGGTTCACAGCTTCCCACTACCTGTAAGGAAAAAAAAAAAAAACCTACTTGTAGAAAAAAAAAAGAGTGACCATGCTCTCCCTGGGTCTCAGTTCCCTCATCCATAAAATGAATGGATTGGATTAGATGGTCGCTAAGGGTCACTTACAGTTGTAAATCTAAGATCTCATGATCCTCAATGATGAGATATCCAGAAGAAAAGAATGAGAATAGTTAGAGAAGAGAAGAATAGGCAAATTCCTGAACTTTCTTCATCTATAAAATGAGAGCACTGGCTTCTTCTGTGTTTGGTTACAGGGTTCTTACTCTTTTTTTGCATCCCGGATCCCTTTGGCAGTCGGTGAAGTCTATGGACCCCTTCTCAGAATCATATTTTAAAATAATTAGAGAAAAGGTCACACTTCAGTTAGAGGTTCATGAAAATAAAGATGTAATCTTTTTTGTTGCTGTTGTGTTTTGTTTTTCCCATCTAACCTTGAGATGTGTCAATGGACTCCTTTGATGCTTGGACATCAGGAACGAGCCTGACCTAGCATCCCCTTCCAGCTGTGAAATTCTTGAATCTAGGGGCAATAATAAGAGAACTCCTGTCTTCACACATACTTCTCAAGACCCCTGAAGGATCACACATTTAGTGATGGGGGTCCCTAAGAGCTCATTACAATCCAACCCCTTCATTTTACAGATGAGGAAACTCCTTGAGGACAAGGGAAGTTGTGATTTTGGGTTTAGAGATTATAGGACCATAGAGGTAGAGCTGGTAGGAACCTTAGAGATGATCTACTCCCACTATTTTACAGATGGGGAAACTGAGACCTGGAGAAATAAAGTGACTTATCCCAGGCCACAGAGGCAAAAAGTCAGTGACCTAGGATTAGAGCCCAGATCATATATATATGTATACTTTTTTTTTTTTTGGCTAGGCAATGGGATTAAGCGACTTGCCCAGGGTCACACAGCTGGTAAGTGTCAAGTGTCTGAGGCCAGATTTGAACTCAAGTCCTCCTGATTCCAGGGCCAGTGCTCTACCCACTGTGCCATTTAGCTGCCCCTCAAGCTTTCTTAATAATACACCTGGAGTCAGAAGGACCTGAGTTCAAATCTGGACTCAGACCCTTACGAATTAAGTCACTTAATCCTGATTGCCTCCAAAATAATAATAATGATCATATACTACCTTAATGTTGTGAGAATCACATGATTTCATATGTGAAACATAATGTTTGCTACTATGGTAGACAGTCTATACTTCTGCATGACAGTTTGAGAGATTGGTCTCCTCATTCAGCAAGCATTTATCTAGTGCCTACTGTGTTCATGGTGCTGTAGTGGGCACTGATGGGGTCGGGGAAGAGGAGAAAATGTGGTCCCTGCCCTTGAGCTTCCTACAAGCATGATTAAGATCAGGCAAATGTAACATATCTGTAAATGTTATATACACATGTCAATAAACACATAGCAGACATCATACATGTTTATAAAATGTTATTGTGTATATATAAACATATATAATATGCATGTTTTCTATAATGTATTTTCATGGGATATATACATGTATATGTATATAATAATAGAAGCCTAAAACTAAGACTTTTGGGATGCTATATCTGTACACACTGCCTCTCTCCAGTTGACTTGTGTATGTTTGCCTGGTCATCCTCCCCTCTCCACCCTACCCCAACCCCATTACTTGTGTCCAACTCTCTCTGCGACCCCATTTTGGGGTTTTCTTGGCAGATACTGGAGTGGTTTGCTATTTCCTTCTCCAGCTCATTTTATAGATGAGGAAAATGAGGCAAACAGGGTTGAGTGACTTGCTGAGGGTCACAAGCTAGTAAGCGTCCAAGGGCAGATTAGAACTCAGGTCCTCCTGGACTCAAGGGCCAGCATTATATCCACTGCATCACCTAGCGACTCCCTGGTCTTCCTAAAAGCTCAAGCAGCCTATCTTCTATTCTCCCCTACCCCAATTCAGCGCCTGCTACAAGCAACATAAACACAGTAGGCACATAATAAATGTTTGCTGAGTGCGTTCAAGTCAATTCAAACAAACACCCCAAGAAGCAGCCTGGCCTAGTGGATAGAGCCACCCTAGGTTCAAAGTCCCACTTCTGACACACACTGGCTGGGGGACCCTGGTGAGCTAGGTGTCATTGTGGATAGAGCATGGGACAGAGTCAGGAAGATCTGCATTCATATCTGGCCTCAGACACTTAAAGTTATGACCCTGGGCAAGTCACCTAACCTACTTGCCTTGTTTCCTAATTTGTAAAATGGGGATAATGGGATTGTTGTGAGGATCAAAGGAGTAGCTGGAAAGCACTTGGCACACTATATAAATGCTAGCTATTATTATTATTATTATTACTATTAACAACTCAATACCCAAGGAGATTTTAACGAAGAAAAGGGGGCTATCTACATGGGTGAAGAGAGTTTCCTCACCTGGGATTCCCCTAAACCCATGAAATCACAGATCTCATCTATAGCCCTACTATGTCAGGGACTACATTAGGCAAGGAAGCTACAGAGAGCTAAGCCCACAATGGGTTCCTATTCTTAGAATTCACATTCTCCTCCAAGTGGCAGAATATAGAACAGTCTACCAGCAAGTCTGAGGAGGAAGTGAACCCTACCAGAAGAATCCAAGAAAGATGGTTGGAACCTTGTAGGAAGCTAAGGATTCTCAGAGTTGGAAATGAGGAAGGAGTGAATTCCAAGTACGGAAGGCTGCAGCCTTCAGATGCCTGGCTAAGGAGTTTGTGTTTTGGAGGAAGTATGTGAACAATACTGGGTTCAGAGCCTGACTCAGCTCCCATCTAGGCCTCAGCTTCTTCATCTATAAAATGGGTAGGTCGGACATGATGACCTCTAAGGATCCTTGCGGCTCTAAATCTATAATCCTCAATGAGAGGGCTGGGGATAGGGATCAGACCTGCGACCTCATTGGCATAGGGAGACCCCCTCTACCAGTACAGATTGGCAACTGTTCAAATTATGATCTTAGAACAGGGGTTCTTAATGTTTGTGCATGTGTGAGTGTGTGTGTGTGTGATGGACCCCTTTGGGATTCTGGTGGAAACTTGGACCCTCTTTCAGAATGTTTTTAAAAGACTAAAATAAGATACATAGAATTACAAAACAAACCAATTTTGGCGAAATATAATTATCAAAATGGGGCATCGAGGTTGCGCAGTGAATAGAGCACTGGGCCTGGAATCAGGAAGACTCATCTTTCTGAGTTAAAATCTAGCCTCTGATGCTTACTAGCTGTGAGACCCTGGCCAAGTCACTTCACCCTGTCTGCCTCAGTTTCCTCATCTGTAAAATGAGCTGGAGAAGGAAATGGCAAAACACTCCAGTATCTCTGCCAAGAAAACCCCAGAGGGATCACGAAGAGTTGGACACAACTGAAATGACTCAAAACAGTTCATAGAAGTCAGTTTAAAACCCCCTGTCCTACATGTCTGGGACATTGAGAGGTTAAAGTTGACTTAGCCAGGGTCAGGTATGTGTATGGTATGGGAGTAGGGGAGGGGAAGGGAAGAGAGGGGAGGGGAGGGGAGGGGAGGGAAGAAGCATTGTTTTTAGGCATCTACTTTATTTCAGGCCCTGTTCTAAGGGCTTTCCAAGTATCTCCTCTGATCCTAAATCCTCCTGGGTTTAAGGCCAGCTCTCTATGCAGTACACCATGCTTCCTATCCGAGGAGGAAAAGAACAAATAAGTGGCAGGATCCCAGATAGCCCCACGTTAAGTGGCTGAATACTCAGTGGACCGGCAGTCCTCCAACTGCCGCCACCTCTACCTTGAGTCACTCATCGCTGAAAGGCAAAAATCACTTTTGGCCACACCATCAAAGCCTGCTCCTCAAGCAAATAACAACTCCTACTACACCCATAAGTACAAAGCTCCAAAGTGTTTATTAAGAATTAAAAATACTGTAAAGAAGCCATACAGTTCATTTCACAGTCAACTAAACGAACGTCTGAAATTACTCCAAATGGAGGAAAAACAAAATGGCTTTAAAGGACAGGACAGGACAGACCTTCAGGAACAGGGCAGCTCGGGGACGGGGACAGAGCAAACAATGACATGAAATGCAGTGCATACTTTTTGTTTTTCCACTGACAGACGGGGATCTACTGTTAGCAGATCCCCATGAGTATCATTTTTTAAAAAAAACTTTAAAAAAAAAATAGGTTATAGACATTTGGTCTGCATACCTGAGGGGACGCCCCATTCCGCTGCACTGCTCCTGGGATATGATTCAAGAATATATCAGACCCCTGTTCTGGGCTGCTAAGTCTAAGAGTTATCTGATGACCCAACTAGAAGATTTGGCACAGATGGGCTCAGGATTACTCAGTGTGGATGCCCCATCTTGGCAATCGGAGCCTTCTGAGTCTTGCATAGTTACCTTGGATATCACTAGAGGATGTATAGAATGGGGGTGGGAAGAATAAGGATGAAAGAGAAACTATAAGAAAGCACCTATGGGAGGGACTATGGTAAAGTAGTTAAAAAAAACAAACAAACAAACAAACTAGGAATTGGTATATTTTTTCCCCTAAATTGTGCTGATGTTTCTGGTTTCCAGCCAGTTTAAAAGTGGAAGACTTTAAGTGACTGACATCTCATGGAAAACTTGGGCCCTCCCCCCTCCCATCAAAAAACCAAAAAAAACAAATTTATTTTCCTTAAGGACAATTTTAATTGGCATTCTTTTTTATTACTTGAGTAAAAAAATGGTGGCCAAGGTGGCCTCTGAAGGCTAATAATGCTAGTCTGTTCCTGTTTATTGTCACCTGAAATCATTCTTGCCCTTCTGTGATGTTCGAAACATCTTTCTAGAAGGAACCTCAGATTCCTGAAGATGGGGGCCCTTCAGGGAGAAAGCTAAAAGTCAATACAGAATAATGAAGCAACCATAGCCCTGTTTTCACAGGTATAGCCTAACAATGACAAATAAATTAACTGGGTAGGCAAGGGGGCATCAGAGAATGCCCAGGCGCTTCCATGAGTAACTATTGCTCATTATAAAGAGGGAAGATTTTATTTTTTGGCCATGAGAAAAGGGACGGGGAGGGACGACTTTGAAATTCCACACCAGCATCGATAACTTGTCTAGACTTTTTCATGAATTTTCTCAACTTTCACAAACAGCCGATCCAGATCGCTCCTCAGGTCGTCCAATAAACTTTTTGTGGATATTAAATCATTCTCATTGGTTTCAATTTTCACTGAGTAGGCGACCAGACTGTCCACAGCAGTCCTAACCATTTTTAGGTCTGATTCCAGTTGGCTTAAGGAGGATTTTAAGTCATCCACAGACGCCATTTTTTCTAGATAGTCAGGAGGGAGAGCAGCGTCCCCCGGGGCATTTTCGAGCAGAGTGCGGACCTGTTTCTGCACCTTCTCGAGAGAGTCCACGGCACTGGGGAGCTCGCTCACGCTTCTCTTCAGTTCCTCCACGTCGTTGAACAGGGAGAGCTGAGACTCCCCCAGGCTTCTCACGGTACTCTTGAGGCCATCTTTATCCTCGTCCAGAAACCCACGGGAAGCCGTGATGCCTTGGAGGTGCTCCTGGAGGGTGGCCAGCTGATGTTCATGCTCTTCATTCTTGGAAAGAAGGGATTCCAGAGTTTCCATCTGCTGAGAAGATGCCGTCTGGATGGCCTGCAGGCTTCCTTCCAGGCGCTCAAACCTGGAATCGAAATCATCGCTCCTCCTCTGAAGAGAGTCTAAGGCGTCTGTGTTTTTGAAAATGTCATTCTCTTCTTGGTGGTTGGAGTTTGCTTTGACCTGGCGCACGTCTTCTTCCAATCTCTTTATCTCATCGGGGAGATGGGACAAGGAAGCCTCAGCCTGAAGGATCTTCTCCCTCAGGGACTGCAATGTTAGACGTTCATTGTTAGCAGCTTCCTTGAACTTTTCTTGCTCCTGTTTCAAGCTCACCAACTCTTTGACTTCGGTATAGACATCAGACTCCATGGTCTCCAGGGAATTTTTCAAGGACTCAATATCCTTTTCTCTGGATTTCACTGAGGTCTGAAGTCCATCCACCACATCCCTCAATGCCTTCAAGTCATCTTTGTACCAATCTGTCTCCTCCAGCGAAGAGATCTTGGCTTTCACCTCGTTGATTTCCTTCTGGCTCCTCTTCTGGACATCAGTGAATATGGCGATGTTCTCATTGATGGACTTGGTAAGCTCCGTGAGTCTCTCTTCCACAGTGTGCTCCAAGGAGTTGAAATCCTTCTCCCTGGCGTCCTTGACCACATGGATGCCATCCGAAAGGTCCTTCAGGATCTCGTTCTGCAATTTTTGCAGCACCTCGCTGATACGATTGATCTCATTCTCCCCCTGTTTGATTGCTTTCTCTGTCAGTTCCTGCTTATGTTGGGAGTTTTTCAAGATGGACTCAAAACTCACAAACGTAGACTGTAGAGATTGCACCTAAAAGAAGAAGCCAGATGTTAATCCCCGAAAGAAGCAGATGGAATTGAACAAAAGGAATTTACATCCACAGCAATCTGGTAACTTATCACATCTACATTGACTTTTGACCAATCGACTAGCTGTGCCAGGATCCAGGATGGGGTAGGTTGGTCTTGGGACGTAAGAAAATAGGTAAAGACACATAAGTATATAATGAAATTTGTCATCAGAGACATAGCAAAGACACATACCCCGCCTCTCCCCATGTCCCTGGCACCACGGCAGAGAGAACTGGTTCGAGAATCAGTTTTAAGCCTAGATTATAGTCCTAATTCAATCATTAATTAAACACCTAACAGGGAATGACGAAAGCAGGGACCCCTAACCTTTGCGTGTGTCATGGATTCCTTGAGCAGTCAGTCCCACGAAGCCTACGGACCCCTTCTCTGAATCATGTTTTTGGATGCATAAAATCCATAGGATTACAAAGGAAACCAATTATATTGTGATATGGGGATTAAAATATATTTTTCAAAAAGTTCACAAACCCCAGGTTGAGGACCCTTGCACTAAAGGTTTTTGAACAAGGAAATGATCAGCTAGTTAGGTCTATAGTGACCAATACTATGGCGATCCTCTATGTAGATTTCTGTGAAGCATTTCACAGTCTCTCCTGCTGGCCGAGAAGCTCCAAACACCAGATCCAAAGAGTAGCCATTAATAGTCCAATGTCAACTTGGAAGAAATTATCTATTAATAGAGCATCCTAGGGTCTGTGATAGCTAATGTTTTTGATCAGAAGTTTAGATAAAGGCTGGCATACTTATCAAATCTGGAGATGACACAAAGCTGGGAAGGCTAGAGAGAGAACGTAATGGATGACCAAGTCTGGATCCAAAAAGGTCTAGACCAGCGTTTCTTAAACTTCTAAAACAGTTTAAGAAGCGCTGAAGGGGTCACGAGTGGAAAAAGTTTACGAAGCCCTGGTCTAGACTAGCTCAAATGAACCTAGATGGATAGGGATAGGGATAGGACCTGAAGTATCATGGGTATAGAGAACTCCAGGTGAGGAAAACTCCCTCCACCAATGCAAGTCAGTACCTTCTCGGTAACTTATAGTCTGGGAGATTTGCCTAGGATAAATCAGAAGCACCTGTCTATGCAGCCAATGTATCAAACAAGGTCTTCCTAGCTCTCTATCCAGTATATGACACACTGCCCTCCAACCCAATAAGGTGAAATTGTCTGTCTCTGTTAAGAGATAAATGTAAAGTCCTACATTTTGGTTCAAAGAATCATCTTCATATATACAAGATTGGCAAGGTATGACTAGATAGCAGTTAACATTTAAAAAAAAAATACCTGAGGATTTTAGTTGACTCCACACTCAAGGGAATTAACAGAAGCAGGCAGCCAAAAAAAAAAAAATCTAATGAGATCATCGATGCCCAATATCCAAGACTAGGGAGATGGCATGTCCACTGTAGTGTGCCCTAAGATTGCTACTAAAGTACCAATGTCCCAAAAATCTTAGTGCGGTTTTATGCTCTTAGCTTAAATAATAGTTTTTAAGCTAACAGCATAAAACTGCATTAAGACTTAGGGGGGCATGATGTATTGCATGCTACTATAGATAGGGGTACACTGGAGCTCAGATGAAACCTGAACCAATTATAAATATTCAGCCCAAGCATTTGTTGTGGTTTGTCCTTCATTTTGACGGATGAACATCAGGAGGGTGATGGCTTGACTTGTACATGAATTGGATTTAAATGAGGTAGAGCTGCACAGCCATCTGCCTCACTCTCTCTTCCAGAGTCATCACAGTCCAGACCTCAGAAATCAGCAAATGCTCTAAATCAAGGCCTGATTCACCATCTTGCAGATTGTCTAGACCAGGGATGGGGAACCTGTGGCCTCGAGGCCACATGTGGCCCTCTAGGTCCTCAAGTGTGGCCCTTTGGCAGAATTCAAACTTCAAAGAACAAAACCCCTTAATAAAAGGATTAGTTCTGTAAAACTTGGACTCAGTCAAAAGGCCACACTGAGGACCTAGGAGGCCATATGGGGCCTCAAGGCTACAGATTCCCCACCCCTGGGACTTGAAAAAGTCCAGGTATCACTTTAGAAATGGACATTCACTTTAGAAATCACTGATGATTTCACTTAAGAAAGTGACTGCATTTTCCTTAATAATGCAAATTAAACTAAAACATGTGTTACACATACTTTTTTTTCTTAGGAAGTCAGTTGTTAAACATTTACCAGCACATCCTTGGTTATGGGCCCCACATTTAGAAAGGATAAACTGGGCAATGTTCAAAGAAGGGCAACCAGGATTTAGAAGGGTCTCAGTAGCATGTTGTATAAGGATCAGTTGAAGGAAGTAGGAGTATTTATCCTGTAGAAAAGAAAATTTGGGGGTTGAGGGGAGACGATGTCAAGTCTTCAAATATCTAAAGAGAATTTCGGGGACAAGGAATGATTAGCATAGTTCTGCTTGGTTCCACAGGGCAACACATAGAATGAATGGGTAGAGGTTGCAGAGACATTTCCTGACAGCACTCTTAGGCTATAGCAGTCTGGAAGAGATGGCCAGATGACTACTTAATGGGAATGTCAAAAGGGACTTTGAATCCTGTTCAGGTTAGACTACATCGACTCTGAGAGCCTTTCCATCCCACACTCTTTGAATCCCAGCTACGCTGTGTACTAGCTGTGTGATCTCAGGCAAGTCATGGTGCTTCAATGTCCTCATCAGTAAAATGGGAATACCCATAGAACAAATTACACATGATTGTTGTGAGAAGCAAATAAGATAATGGATAGAAAATGCTTTGAAAACTGTGAGATGTCATGCTGTTGATTCGTTTTCACTCACGTCTGACTCTTCATGACCCCATTTGGGGTTTTCTCGGCAAAGCTGCTGGAGCAGTTTGCCATTTTCTTCTCCACTCATTTCTTATCATTAACAGATGAAGAAACTGAGGCAAACAGGGTTAAATGATTTGCCCAGGGTCACACTGCTGGTAAGTGTCTGAGGCTGGATTTGAACACAGGAAGATGAGTCTTGCTGACTCCTAGGCCTGGCACTCTATCCACTGTACTACCTAGCCATCTCAAAATGTCATATAAAGAGCTATTTTTATTATTCCGTGAGGAAATGGAGAACCAATGGTCACGGTGCTAGCTTGGAGCAGAGTCAGGATAAGAACCCAGGATTTCTGGTCTCTCACTAGTCTTATACTCAGTCTCCCCTTGAGATGTATAACCTCACAGCATCCGAGACAACTGTTAATGATACCCTACATTCTCTCTTCCCCTTTCCCCATCCCCTCCACTCATGCATTGGGCCTATAATAACTCAGGCACCGCTAAACTCCATCAGAGCTAAAGATGTCTCACTTCAAGCTCATGACTGGTCCCTGAATTTGACTGAGATACAGGCAGGGAGAAAGCAAAAGGATAAACAAAAAATCCTCTGATTGAAGCTACTTATGGTCAGGGGGTTAGATCAGCTTAACACACTTAAGGTCCCTTTCATCTCTAAATTTACGATCCCATGACCCGGGTTCAAATCTTGGGTATGTTACTACCACTCATAATACCTGGTCAGTTCAGTTAATTGAAACATCATGACTCCAAAGAAGAAATATGAAAATGAGCCTCCTTCCCCTTTTTGCACAGGTGGGGAACTCTGGGTATGGAATACTCCATTTAATGTCAGACTTTTCCCATATGTTGGTTAGTTTTACTGAATTGATTTTTTTTTTTAATTTTGTTTCATAAGGAATAACTGTCTGAGAGCACCAGGAGGGGGAGGAGAGCTATATTGGGAAGTGAGCGTGATATAAGAACAAAAGTTAGCGATAATTTTTTTTTTTTTTAAGGAATACTATGGGGGAGTGGCAGCTTTGGAGTCAGGCGGCCTGAGTTCAAATCCTGGCCTAAGCTACCTATGCAACCTGGACCAAGACAATTTCTTGGTGCGGGCCTTGATTTTCTCATCCATAAAACAAGGAGATTGGATGAGACGAGCTCTCAGGTCTCAGAATGGATGGAGGGAACAGTGCCAGACCGCCCCTACTACAAGCCCTCAGTAAGTGGGGGCCTTCCCAATGGGAGATGGAGGGCGGTTAAGGGCATATCCTCATATACCAAAGGTAAATTACTACTATTAAGGTATGAGAACATTAATAGATTGCCTAAATATTGAACCATATGGAGAAACAGGGTGATGGTATTGAAAAAGGACTGTGTTTATAATCCACGGGCCTGTTTGAATTCAGTCTTTGACACTTACTCGCTGTGTGACCTTAGGCAAGTCACTTCATCATTCTCAGACTCAGTCTCCTCAATCAGTAAAACGAGGGGAAAGGAGAGGTTGAGTCCCTTGCAGTTTCAAGTCTACGATCCTATGACCTGGGCTTAAATATTGAGCCTGTTACTTACTACCTGTGTGATAGTGAACAAGTCACCTCCCCCGTCTGAGTCTCAGCTTCTCACTCTGTAAAAGAGAAGAGGGAGTATAATATATAATACACAGAGCTCTGGATTCATAGTCAGAAAAACCTGAATTTAAACTCAGTCTTTGGCATTTGTCAAGTGAGATCATGGGTCACTTAGTCCCTTTCAGCCTCAGTTCTCTCATCTGTAAAATGGAGATGATTGTCAGGGAAACACTCTGGAAATTATAAAGAGTGTGTGTGTGTGTATGTGTGTACAACATGGAGACAATTCCTGTAGTTCTAACCTCACAGGGTTCATAGCATCATGGCCTTAGAGCTAGAAGGGTCCTTAGAAGTCATTTAGTACAACCCTCTCATTTTACAGATGAGGAAACTGAGGCCCAGGGATGATCCTAGGGTCATAGATCTAATGCTGGAAGAGGTGGCAGACCCTTCAGCTTACCGATGAGGAAAATGAAGCCAAGAGAGTTGAAGTGTGAGAGTGAGAGGCAGAAGGGAGATTCAAAGCCAAGTCTTCTGACACCAAAGTCAGCGTTCTTTCCACTATAC